TCGTTAGTGCACCTTCTAAAACCTTTGCAAACTTAATTTGGCTCTGTCCTGAGTCTTCGTTAATTTTTGGTAAAAAATTTTCTCCCCCATTGGAATGCATTGAACTGTCGGTTTGACAGCTGTCAAACCTGCAGTTCAATGCTTTCCAATGGGGGGGGGAATTCACCAAAAATTAATGAAGACTCAGAACAAAGCCAAATTAAGTTTGCAAAGGTTTTAGAAGGTGCATTAACGATCCCAAGCATTTAAAACCATTTTTGAACGTTTTAAGACACACTTAAAATTGCAAAAACGGACATCGCAAAACCATTGGAATGCACTGAATAGGCTTCAATGCATTCCTATGGGAAATGGTGTTTCGCTTAGCGATGTTTTCCCATAGCAATGTTTTTTGGGGAACCAATTAACATCGTTAAGCGAGGCACCACTGTAATTTTCTCTAAAATGCTTAGATTAAAAATTTAGGGTCGTCTTATACACAGAAGTAAGGAGGGGGAAGAAAGTGGAGAGAGAAAGCAGGAATCAAAGCACTTTGATGATTCCTGCTTTCTCCCTCCACTTTCTTGAGAAGAAAGAAATTCTGGGTTAGAAAAGTGGGGGGACCCTTTTATACATAGGAATGTCTTATACAGTACACAGAAAAATACGGTAAATGTTTGAGTTCCACTGTTAACAGCAGGAGCTGAGAATTCTCATAACTAGCTCCCTGATGTTGCATTCATATTGTACGATTTACAACACCTATTATTGGAAAAGTATTTCTATGCAGTTCTATAATGTGAACGTAAGTTATATCAAAGCAATGAATATAGGGCCACTTCTTACATAGAGTGTCTTTGTACAAGTAAAGCAAGATGAGTTAAGTGGCTTGCAGAGCCAAGACCACTCAGCTATAGATGTCTGCTCGATTTGTCCAGCTCATTATCATAGAAGTGGCTAGGTATCTCAGTTAGTATAAAGCAACTTATACCATAGATTGGTAGGAACATCCTTTGGTATTTGAATGTTTTACAACATTTTATATGAAAACTGGCATAGGGCTGCACATTAATAATACTAGATCAATGTGCAGTAGTAATAGTATCAGCAGAAGCAGCAATTACAGAATGAGTGTGTACTCATTACTAACAGACACAGTATCTCTCCCCTTCTGCAGGCATCATAATGGTTATAAAAATACCTTCTCAAGTCGCATTCAGTTGGCAGTGTAATGCTACCAAATGAAACTCTGTAATAATAGAGTGACCTTTGTGTCTTAGTCTACTAGTAATGGAAATTTAAGGCTATTGAGCCACCAGAGCGTTATTATAAATTGCACTAGAGTAGGTCCACTGAAACAGGTAGGATTTGGTGTCTCTACCCCTCCATATTGATACAAATGGCCCAACTCTAGTTGCAACTTACTTTAGCATAGTAAGCTGCAACTTGAGTAGCCTCATTTGAATCAATGGAACTCATAGCATGGTTGACCTACCAAATCCTTACCAGGATTTCAGCCAATATATTAAAGACATGTCTATGTACCAAATCTGAAATAACAGTTGACAAATTTGTTTTCATCATCAAGAAAAGTATCTTAATGTGTTTGATGTAGATTTGGGAATTGCCTTACAGACTGAAAACTTTCAAACACAGCTAAAAAGAAACTTAATTTGAAATATAGCTTTGCATCTTGCTGATCTATAATATTCAATTAGCAGAACTCATTTGCATACTCTTTTTAAAAGGTAGAAAATTATGAAGACTTTGATTCAGTAATTTCATACAATGCCTTTATAAAAATAGATGTTACATTTTCATATTGTTGATTAGGCTATCTGGAATATAATTCATAAGAAAATGAAGAAAACATTTAACACTTTGAATAGGATTTTCAAGACAATTTCATATGTTGCAAGAAGGCTATGGATGTGTGATCTGGAAGGCTAATGAATTTGCATAAACAATTAAGCAATGACTTCAACAATAAAAAAAACATTTATGAATCACTAGACTAGTGAGATCCATTGGTTTGTTCATTATACCAGAAGATTAAATTAACTATTCCATCATGAATTATTTTTATAGAAGATATCAAGCAATTTTATAGTTTGCTATAAAATTTGCAATCAGCCCCTGAAACAAATAGATCCAAATGAAAAATACAAAACATGGCAGAATGTTCAAATGCAAACTGGTGCTTTTATTTGTCAAACAACATTTCTATCCTTTCAGATGAAGTAAGTTTTAAAAACATCAGCACCACACAGTAGAAATTTCTATAGGTGACACTTCTGACAACATACAGTGTTGAAAATCAAGAAGAAAATGAATATACACATTCATCTTTGAAAAGCACCAAACACACATCCCTTTTAAGGATACCTCCAAGGTCCAAGTTGTTACATGAAAATATATTCACTTACCTCAAAGGTGTTACCAGTCACATCAATCTCTGGTGGCATAAAGACACCTTCTGGATCATCTTTAAAAGAAACATGGAATTGAGAAGTCTAAAATAGGATTTCAGAACTATTTTAAGAATCCTGAAATTCTAACTCAGAGATGCAACAAAATGGCTTCCTGAAATTCTTATCTGTATGTAGAACTAGAGAATCATTTTCTTGAACATTCACCAGTGGCAACAGCATAACTTATGTATTTTCTACTAATTTTTCTCCCTGATGTAGGAAACTGCCCCCAAGGGAGATCGAGACTATAGAGCATATATTTTTCACCTGCCCATTGTATGATGTGGTGCGCAAAGAGATTATTACGCCCCTAATGGAAAGAATCCCAGGATGTTCAGAGAGAAACAGGCTCGAGTTCCTTCTCTCGGATGCTGACATGCAGATCACCTGTCAAGTTGCCAAATTCTGTGTGGCAATACTTTGATCGCGGAAGCCAAACTCCAGCTAGATAGTAGCTCCCAGCTCTATGCATGCTAACATGTTTTAATGGAATATTGAAAGTTAGAAATTATAAATAAGGTTTTATACATATGTGACTGGTCTAAGGACTGTAAATAAAACTTTCATGACCCTTTCATGGCTTAATGTCTCCTTTAAAGACATGTGCTGTTATATAACATTCTGTAGGGCTTACAAAAATTCTATTTACGGAATTACATCTATCCCAGTAATGAGAGATAAAGACACACCACAATTCTTTGACAGAATAAGTCTATCAATAGCCATCTTTATGGCAGAATGCTGTCAAAACATTAAAAGGCTAAGAGATGTTTAATCTGGTTTAATCCAGCTCTGGTTTAATCCAGAGCTGTGATCAATGAAACATAATAGGAGAAGGCTAGAGCGCATATGGAGGCAGAACCTGATGGAAAATAATCAAATAGTTGTCAGGATCGCAACTAACCTCTACCTATCGTAGGTGAAGGCTGCTAGTCAATCTTACTTCATTGTCCGCATAAACGAAGCCTCCAACCAGCAGGCGGAACTTTTCCGTATAGTTCGTGATCTATCCAGAGTTGGTCATAGTGACTGGCCTCCCACTAGCATCTCACCTGACCAATATGCAGCCTTTTAAAAATCAAAAGTGGAAGCCATCAGCCAGAATCTTGCCCCCTATTTGAAAACAGTGGATCGAGCTGAGACGTCCAGCGGCCCCGTCTTGCCCGATGAGACTTAACCACTTTCAGCCTGTGACATGGTGGACAGAGTGCTTGATCGCTGTCGTGCCACCTCCTCCTTCCTTGACCCTTGTCCAGCTTGGCTAATTCAAGCAGCCAGGCTTATAACATCTGAATAGGCTATGGCAATAATTAATGGGTCTCTCCAGGAGGGCAAGGTTCCCCTTGCCCTCAAGGAGACACTCATTAGGTCCATTAGGAAAAAACCAAACTTGGCGACAGACGATATTGGTAATTATAGGCCCGTCACCAGTGTTTCTTTTCTCAGCAAGGTAGTTTTGTGTCATGACGATATTGGTAATTATAGGCCCGTCACCCGTGTTTCTTTTCTCAGCAAGGTAGTTTCGTGTCATCAGTACGCTGATGATACTCAGCTCTACATCTCCTTTTTTCCAACAACAGTGGGTGCTGTCTTGTCCCTTGAGCGCTACCTGGGGGCTGTTCAGCAATGGATGCAGTTGAATGGACTGAGGCTGAATCCTAGCAAGACGGACGTCCTTCGGGTGGGTGCCCCAAACATCAATGGTCTGGGAAACTCCCCTTCCTTTGCGGGGGTGACTCTTACCACCAAGAGTGAGGTTCACAGTTTGGGTGTACATCTGGACCCAGCACTCACCATGGAGACCCAGGTGTCGTCAGTCGTCCATTCCGCACATTTCCACCTTTGGCAGATTGCCCAGCTGCGTCCCTATCTTGATGTGGGGGCACTTACCACTTTGGTCCATGTGCTCGTAGTCTCAAGATTAGACTACTGTAATGCACTCTACATGGGGCTGCCTTTGAGACTGACGCGGAAACTTCAGATGGTACAAAATGTGGCGGCCAGACTTCTTACAGGGGTGAAAAGGTACCAACATATTTCCCCCACGCTGGCCGCCTTGCATTGGCTGCCCATTCGTTTCCACGTTGATTTAAAAGTTCTTACACTTACATATGGTTTAGGACCTCGATATCTGGCAGAGCGCCTTCTCCCACCCAGTTCCGCCAGAGTCACTCATTCCAGCCAGGCCAGGCGGCTGAGGGGCCTAACGCCAAGGGATGCCTGGAAGGAAAGAACGAGGAACTGGGCCATCTCAGCAGTGGCCCCTCGCCTCTGGAACAACTTGCCCGTGGAAATCTGCCTGGCTCCCACTCTGGGTGTCTCCAGAAGCAAACTCAAGACCTGGCTATTTGAGCAGGCTTTCCCTCCTGCTGTATCTTAAATTCACACCTTACCATCTTGGATTTATAGTACATGTTTATTGATTTAACTGTTTTTAAATTTGTAATGCTGCACAGAGTAGACCTTTGGTCTAGATGGGCAGGGTAGAAATCCAACAAAATAAAAATAAATAATTAAATAAATAGGCAGGTAGCAGATTATGGATACCTATTTGCATACTTTTATCTAGATAACCCGATACTGACTCATATGTTGATAAACTCTGAAGATCGCATCTGGCCTAATACAGTCTATACAGTAAGAGAGGCCTTCGAACTCAAAATGCTAACCTGCTATCTGTTAGATTTGTGTTTTAATCTGAGGCATCATCCACTCAGTGCCTCTGTCAATCAGGCTGAAAGCAACTGAAAATAAAAGCCACTTGTGTGATAAATAATATAACTTTCTTAATATGATGGTAAGTAATGGGTGCAGAAGATAAACCAAGGCAGTGGAAAATGTTCTCTTTCTCTCTAATGCCACTGTCTTTCCAAGGATCTTCCTTATTCTTAAGGCAATTCTGCAGTCATGATTCTCACAGAGGCCAGTGCATATCCAGCCCTGAGACAAAAATGGCACACTTCCAAACCTAGGGAATTTATAAGGTCATTCTAGGATAGTTCCAAAAATACTCTGGATAGATATACAAAGCAGGCAGAGTACAGATTCCCATCTGGAGTATAAGAATTGCCCATCTCTTAATTGTGCTACGCATGGTCAGGTGAAGAGTTCATTCCCTTGTCAGTTCATCTGTTTGTCTCTGAACTATACTAAAAGCAAGGATACTAACAGCTTTCCATGCCCAGGGTATCACAGTCCAAGAGAGGCTATGACATTGTCTCCAGGAACAGCTCATATATGCTTGCTTTCATTCATATCAACTCCTACTGCCTGTCCAGCCATCACACATTATTCTTGATGCACAATTTTTCAGACTTTGTAAACTGTTGAGAAGCTACTCTGAAATGCAATTCCATTTGCTTGCTTTGTATATCCATCCAGGATATTTCTGGAAGTAGCAATAAATTCTGACTCAAACTGTAATTAGCCACCACTTTGGTAAGTGGCATAGTACTGAATTGTTTCAGCTTGCTATAACAATAAGTGACACAGCCCTGGATTCTACAGCAGATATTTTTAAAGGCAAGAAAATAAGGGTGTTTGTACTGAACACTACAATGCAACAACCTGCTGTCACTGCTAGGAAACACCTACCAATGCCACTTTGGCTGGATACTAGCAATCATTGTCTATTTTTCTTACTGTAATCAAATGCCAATAAAGGTTTATGTATGTATGTATGTACTAGCAATCGGACATGCCAGAAAACAAACTAGGAGTGATCCCCCTCAGAATGAGACATAGTATTCTAAGTACTGAAATTAAAATAGGTAATACTGGATTTAGCTTAAAGAAACAGTAACTTCTACAACACATGAGGACTATGTTAGTCTTTGATCTTTCAGATTTGTTTAGATCATAAACAACGCTACCAATATACGAGAGGATATTCTTAGTATAAAACTGCCCACAAAATTTGTTTTCTTGCCATTTCAACAATTACATCAGAGTTAAATGTGACATAGAAAGACATTGTCAATGCACTTGAAAGGAAAAGTGGCATTTTTAGTAATCCTCCAATTTTTGTTAAATAAATCAAACATTTAAAAGCTTGAAAATAAAGAACCATAATAAGCATCCTGAAGATTTTCAAGCCTACAACACTGGAATCATTTGTTCAGATTGCTTAGCATCATTTCCCCTTGACTAGAAACAAAAACAGTAGACAGTTATGTACAAAAGATTTCAAAATAAAAACAAAGAAATCTGACCATGTGTAAAAAACACTTCAAGTTTAAAGAAGAGGGGACAGCTCTTTCTGGATAACAATAAGACCCTATGAAGCATACACAGAAGTCCACTAACTCCACTTTCTATTTAGTAATACCAAAGTACCCTGAAAGAAAAGAGCAAGATATATTGGGAAAACCTGTTACAGTGGTGCCTCGATTTACAAACATCCCGACATACGACCATTTCGAGTTGCAACCAGCTCTGGTGGCAAAATTTTGCTTCGACTTGCGACTGGAGCTTTGAGTTGCGACCGGAAAAAGGCAGGGGAAAAAGGCAGGGAATTCAAATGTACTAACCATTCGTTGGTCGGCGAAGAGGCTGCTTCCTTGTAGCTCTTTCGCCCCAACGGTTAGAGTGAGTGCGTTGGAGAAGGCTTTGGACTGCCTAGAGCTGCTTTCTGCTCCTGAGCAAGTACATTTACTTTGTTTTGCAGGGTGGGTTTGGGTTGGGGGGGGTTATGTTTCTATGCTGTGATTTTTTTGTGTTTTGATGTGTTTTAATTCCCAACCCCATCACATTCTGATGGGGCTGGCTGTGTATGAGGTGTATGTGTGTTTTTCTCCCCTCCCAGCCCCATCGCATTCCAATGGGGCTGTCTGCGGGGGGGTTGTTTTTGTGTGTTTTTCCCAGCCCCATCATGTTCTGATGGGGCTAGTTGTGTTTTTTTGGTTTTGGTAATTTTTTTTCCAGCCCCAAACACATTCCTATGAGGCTTGCAGTGTTTTTGTGTGTGTGTTTTGGTGTGTTTGTTTTTTGACCCCAGCGCATTCCGATGGGGCTTGCAGTGTTTATTTTTATTCAATTTATATATTTTTTTGGTTTTTTTTTCCTTCTGGAACTGATTAATCGCATTCCAATGCATTCCTATGGGAAAGGGTGCTTCAACTTATGACCATGTCGAGTTACACCCATCTTCTAGAACAGATTATGGTCATAAATATAGGCACCACTGTACTATTACAGGTGCCCTTCATTGTCATTTAAAAAAAATCCTTGGCATATTGAGCTATTAATTGATCTGAAATCTTGCCCATGCTGAATTCTTAATTAAAATGCAGAAATTGAAAGAGAACATTAAAGTCATAGGAGTTTAGGGTGACCATAACTGCCATGGCTCCATGTCTTGGAATTCTGGGATTTGTAGTTTAGTGAGATAATTAGCTATAGCCCAGGGAAGTGCACTACAGTTCTCTCTACAGACAGTTCTAGGTTTCTTATTGGAGACAGGCACATATTAAGCCATGCCCCTTTGTACAAAGTCCTCTGAGCAGTACTGCCTCACACCCCCAGCCAGCTCACCATCTGTCACGTACCACCGGAGTCCTCCTTTTCTGGTAGTGCTCCAGTCCTCATCTGGGTAGCTGGCTGCTGGAGGAGGTAGGGAAGGGCAGCCCGAGCTCCTTCCCAGACTGGACCACTGCCAGAGAAGGACGACCCCAGCAGCACATGACAGATTGCAAGTGGACCCGCTGGCCAGGGGGAGGGAAAGTGCATCACCTGTGGTAGCATACTGGGGACTTTGTATGAAGGGGCACAACTTAACCTGTGCCCACCTCTATTCCTTACCAAACCATAGATTCTATAAGATAGAGATATGACAGTTAAAGTGAACAAAACTGCTATGCATTTGTAGTAGAAAAATACTCTTATATTATCCCTACCAATCAAATCCATACAACAGGATGGGGAACTTTAGTGAGTCTAGAAGCCAATTTTCTCCCCTGGGAATCTTCAAAATAGTAAAAATAAAAAATATGTAGGGGGAAATATAAAAAAGTAGCTGAATTCATGTGTACAGTGATGCCCCGCATGATGACGACCCTGCTAAACGACGGATCCGCAGGACGATGACTTTTTGCAATCACTATAACGATTCACTAAACAGTCATTTCAATGGGGGAATTTTGCTTCACGACGATTAGGTCCATGCTTTGCAAACCGTTTGTTCGCAAGATAATTTTTCCAGCTGATCGTTGGGGTCCTAAAATGGCTGCCCTGTGTTTTCCAGACCCATGCTTCGCAGGGCAGCCATTTTAACAGCTGATCAGCACTCAGAAAATGGCTTCCCCTATGAGCAATCTTCACTGGACGATGAGGTAATTTCCCCATTGGAACGCATTAAATGGGTTTCAATGCACTCCAATGGGGAATTGTTTTTCACATGACGACGATTTCACTTAACAGCAATTTCAGGGGAACGGATTATCGTCATCATGAAGGGCACCACTGTATGTGCATGCACATGTGTGTGTTTGCAACATCAAAGTCTGATGGTGACCAGGGCAAGAAGAAAAAAGAAAACCAGACTCCGTGGTATATGTGGTCTCAAGGTGATACAAAATTCTCAGAAGCGAAAAATCATTAATGACAAATCAACATTTCAATTAATTAACATTGTTTAATCAATGAAAGTGTACAGCTCTAAAGATTAGCTTGCAGTTAGCAGTAAAAGTATGCATCAGTCTACAACTGGGAAATCTTCTATCGTGGGATAAGAAAAATGAAAAATGGTTCACTTTTACTAACCAGCAGAAGTATGTTCCCATTAACAGCACAGAATTCAAAAAATGCCTTCACTCATGGGGGAAAAATACTGATCAAAAGAGACCTTTTAAATATTGGAGCTGGTAAGTTGAAGCATAAGAAACCCTTTGTAGAAAATTGAGGAACTGATATTATGACAGCATTTATGAGAAAAAGTAATTGAATTACATGTTCACATATGCTGAATTTGTGTATATGGTTATATCAACTTTCTAAGAGTACAAAACTTAGCTTAGTGGGTGTATTTTTATTTGTAAATAAAATATGCAAACTTATTCTGAATTTGCTATTCAGATGTTGACAAAATAGGCAGGAATTTACAAGGACTAACTACACATCTTCAAAATGAGGGTTTTTTCCCCTAACACACACAGAGAACATCCAGATAATAAACAGCTAAATAATATAATGTCGTCTATAATCTGAGTCAGTATAACCTTGACTGCAGTAGAGTTCAGATGTAATGCTAGACCACAATTTAGCACTATAAGAACAGCCCTAGCCTTCTCTTGGACTTTTTTATTCCATGCTTGCTTTGTTGCTCAAAGAGGGGTTCAAAGCCTTTTCACTTCTACTTTTAGCTGAGCACAGCTTCCTATGTCATCTGAATCCAGACAAACTGCAGTTGATGTTAGCTACCGGAAACAAGACACTTTCAAACTACACAGTCTACAAAGCTGGATTGTTTTAACTAATGTTACATATGCATCATAGGTTCCAAGTTTAGCAGGGCTCAATGGAGGTACGGATGCTTTATTCTCCTTAGCTATAACAGGCCAGGAGTCACAGAAGTTCCTATGTCATCTGAATCCAGACAAACTGCAGTTGATGTTAGCTACCGGAAACAAGACACTTTCAAACTACACAGTCTACAAAGCTGGATTGTTTTAACTAATGTTACATATGCATCATAGGTTCCAAGTTTAGCAGGGCTCAATGGAGGTACGGATGCTTTATTCTCCTTAGCTATAACAGGCCATGAGTCACAGAAGGGAGAAGGCATACAATACCCCATATATCAAATAATGGCAATGCAAGGTTATCTGCAAAGACTGTCAGAACTTTTGACTGCGAAGAGAAAAAAGAGCTGAGATAAATAAATTCTGTTGCCAATCACGACATTTCTTTTCCCTATGCTGGGATGACACACAGCCTGAAATTCTGTTTCACAAGTTGCAACTTGTAACTTGTGTGATGTCATCATCCTTGGGCATTTTGGGGGCACTGTTGCAGTGATTTTCAGGCACTAAAGAATACCCTTTTGCGTGCCTTGGCTCCCAAGGTCTAAAGGTTGAAAGGGGATCCCTAGGATTCCCAAAACCTAACCAGGTGGAAGAAGGCACAGCTATAGATAATGCTACCATTCAAGTTAAAACTCTTAACTTTCAAAATAGGATTTCGGACATTGCCTAAAATGGGACAGAGGAAGTACTTAGTGGCTCCTTCAAGCAGGGGTTATGAGTGCCTCATCATAACACCCCCTCTTCAAATCCTCCATGATTTTGCCCTACTAAGACGTGTTGCATGTATTAATTTGTGTATAGAAAATGATATGAAACTTATGCTCTTTCACTTCTGTTTTTTACAAACAACTTAAACTACTGATGCACAGGTAAAGCTCTCTAATAGAATATTTGTTTAAAGGTAAGTTTCCTTAGTCTAGAATTTTTTTTCCTTGTACTGCTTCTGGACAGAACAACTGGTCATTCTAATGGCTATGTTTTAGGGCTGACGCACCAAATGGTAACTGAACTATGAACAGGATTTCAGGCAGTGAGTTTCAACTTGTAACCATCTGTTACAGCTGAACAGGGTTCTCATCTGCCAGAAAGCTAGCAGGATAGATCAGGGTCATCAGCTATGGCATGGGCAGGAGAAAACATGGCTACCTTATCTACTGCCACTTGAGAAGTTTTACATATTACTCAGTGTCCTCCCTAACACCACTTGCATGGCTACTCCATCCCTTTTGTTTACTTCCAGCCTTCTGCTATGTAATGCTTGAAACACTCAGTGTGCATTGTTATACTGCCTTCATCACCATCAAGGCACTCTGCCAATAGTGGTTGCCCTGACCACCACTTAGTCAACAGTGGTGAAAAACAGAACACAGGTAAACTATGGATTTAATAATTAATAGCTCATTCTAAGATTTAAGAGACAACTGTTCACTGGAAGAAGCAAGAAGAAAGTGACTTACCTTTCACTGGTGTTGGCCTATTGTGCATTTAATTATTTATACTATCTGCTATCGTTAAGGCAGGTTACCATTTTCTACTCAACTATTCCTCAGTTCATACATAACGTCACACAATCTATCACAACCCTTTGAGCTGTCAGAATCTCTACATTTAAGTCTATATCTATAGCACGTTCAGACCAGAGTACGACAGCATTAATCAAGCAGACCTTTTGGTAGATATTGACTAGACAACTACAAGGACTGAGGTCAAAAGCTGATTAAATTCAAACTAGAAACCATTGTTCAATACTGTAACAACCAAAGAGACATACTGTATTAGCGGTCACAAGCTAATTTAACTTTACATGGGCCAGCATTCATCTCTGCATTAAGAAACCATGGTTTCCAGTCTAATTAAAATCCATGCAGAAATCTGATGGAGAGAATATAATGTTTCACTACATCCGCTCAGCATGAGTTTTTGTACTTTCCAACAAATTGCCTGGAAGCATCAATACTTACCACTGATCTGTTCCATGAAGCATACATTGCCATTGGTGTTAAAAGCCAAAGTGTCAGGAGTAATGCAAAGTGTCTGGAAGATTGCAGAATGGGCAATGCTCTTCAGGGACTGGCTACACTCCAGGCAAACAGCCCAGATATCTTGCTCAGTAAGACAACTATCCCGCAGTGACAAAACATCAGCAAGAGACACGTTCTCCTGCCAGGACATGAATTCAAGAATTACTCCACATTTCATGACATTACTTATAGCCAACTGTGTCAAATATAATCTATAATACCCAAACCCATTACGCTGATTCACATGCATTTTCATACATTGCACTATTATGACGGCCTTTAATTGTTCTATTCACCCCCCCCACTTCTTCTCTACACCCCTCCACCTTCTCTCTTTCTCAGTAACATCTTCTGTTTGTAATTCTATCTTTCTTCAAACTCCAAAATATATGTATTTCATATTGACTAGCTGATAAGGATTGCCACTGAAAACAGCCATGAGGCTCATGAAGCACTGGTCCGCAGAGAAAAATGTATAAGGATTGCCACTGAAAACAGCCATGAGACTCATGAAGCACTTAATTTATTTCTTTTCTCCCCAAACTGCTACTAATAGCAAATATAATTGGGGTCAGAGTAGCCCTTCTATTATACAGAATCAGTCTTGGTTTCTTAAAAGGTAAGAAGTCCTTGAAAGTTTTTCTGCATCAGGTGCCACAGAATTGTACACACTTTGGGGACTCCACACCTTGCATTGCTACTCTACCTCAAATAGCAAAATGTCTGGGCCATCCCTGATTAGAATGTATCATAAATGGATTTTTTTAGGAGGGGAAATCCCCAAAGGAAATGTAAGTATATACTTGTGTATGAAACAAAATTAAAATGGTCTTGGACAGAGTGTCCAGGTAAATTAAAATGAGTCATTTTTATAAACATTGAACCTTTCCTAACATTTTAAGACTATATTTGAGTCTCTTTTTAAATTGAATGGGTTTTTCAAGTAAGACATAAAAGAAAAACATCAACAAATTAATTAACTCAAAAGTTTTCTTTTCTTAGTAAAACTGTCTTTTTAAATATTTTCAGGTAAATATGTAGGGCAGTGTTTAAGCCCCAGCAGGGTAAGCTTACTCTTTTCTGCTTGTACAAAAAGAATGTTTTCCTTCATTAATAACAAAATTTACTAAGAAATTAACAATAAAGCAAAAGATAAGGTTTGATTTCAATCAAAATGCACATATATCCAGAAAGCTTGATTTACTTTTTGAATGCTTATTTGGGGTACTACGATTAGGAACAGGACTTGAATGCAATTGTACCCTCCTAATGTGCTTCACTGTATCAGTTGCTCAGTAGCATTCTGATGCCAATAATGGAGGTAACGGCCAGAACCCTACTGGGGATATACACTGCATAAGTGTAGTTATTTAATTAGAGATGATTAATGAATTGCTGCATATGCTTAAAACCCATCCCAAGGGACTCAATATAAGCCCACGGTTCTTAGGCCACTGTCAAATGTAAAATATTGTGTTGCATCTGCTGTCATTCCCAACTATATTTCCTAACCACTACCATCTCACAAGCCCCATTAGAGATATGCATTATACCATGTTGTTCCTGTTATTTGTTTGTTTGTTTGTCTGTTTGTTTGTTTGTTTGCTTGCTTGCTTGCTTGCTTGCTTGCTTGCTTGCTTGCTTGATTTATACCCCGCCTATCTGGACTACTTGTCCACTCTATATATCTATAACCTGGGATTAATTTAGTCACCAATCATTGTCATTGTTTACAGAATCCCATCCTGGGGCAGGAACTGAATATCAAAAGGAGCCTTAAGAGGTCATTGCCAGGTGTGAAAGGTTGCATCAACAACAACTTGTGTGCAGGAAACAAACAGTCCTTTTGTGTTGGGGCCAGGTAAATCTCCATCAATATTTGCCATGTAGTCCTACGTCTGAGGAAGTGGACTTGTCCATGAAAACTCATATTAAAAGATAGCAGTTAGTCTTTATAATGCCACAATGTGTTTGTCTTCTTCATTTTTAGTTTTTGATGTACTAGCTCAGCCTGACATGGCTGCCGTTCCTAAAACCACAAAATCCATTCTCAGCGTAATCCTCAGCATGGGCATGATCCAACCTAGGTTACTTCCATGAGAGTTAAACTTTTCTCGCCCCTAAAATCACAACACAAAGTGGAACATGCATCCCAACCTCACTGTCTTAAAAAAAAAATCTGTTGTCCACTCCTTTCAGCCAGTCTGGTGCGGAAGGAAACATATCAGGTTAGCAACTTCTCTTTTTCCTGCATTTTGTTCCACAGCAGCAAGGCTCATACAGTTCCTTTAAGACAGAAATCAACGTTTGCGGCTGGTATGTGGCTAAAACTAATGCATACAAAGGAGCTCGGATAGATTTCATGGCAAGTGGCTCAGGATCAGCCCGTCCTATTTACAGAAGAGTCTTGATCAGCGGCTTCCTAGTTCACCGTAGGGTGGGTTCCTTCGGCTGTCACCTGCTTGAGATGTTGTTCCTCGGCTGCTCTCCGCCGCCACTAGACCGAGACGCCGGTCTCCCCAGGGGAGGACGGGCGGCAGGTCGGCCCCACAGCCGGCCGAGCGAACTCCCCGCGCCAAGCACGTTCGACGGGAGCAACGGAGGCAAAAAAAGAGAGAAAGTCTGGGAAAGGCGCGCAGCCTCGCCTAACTACACCACAGGCGACGCGGCTAACCCAGAAGAACGCCAGCTGAACCCCCCCCCTCCACGGGCTGTCGGAAAAGGCTGCTCCCATACTCACCTCATCCTCGAGGAGTGCAGGCAGAGGTTCGAAGGCACCGTCGCTCTCCTCCACCTGCTCCTCAACCCACGCGTCCATGGCCGCGGGTTGCTTCCAGGAGCTTCCTTTCCACGGGGCGAGGGATAAAAGTTGAGGCCGGAGTGGTCTAAGCGCCTGTCTGTGTCGTCTTCTTTTTCTTCGCCCGCCAGAGCCCTTAATGCAGGCTCTTTTGCAGAATTTCTGCTCGAAGGTAGCCCTCGACCTAAAAGAAGCCTCGCTTCGCATGGACTTAGTTCGGAAACGCCGTCTCCCCTTCCCGCCTCGTTTCCAGCCCTTCGCCTCAGAGCCGCGCCCGGTTCGCCCCGTCCGGAGCCGGAGCGTTTGCTGAGCGGGCTCCCATAGCAACAGGCGCTCCCCCAGCTCGCCGGCCTTCCCACGACGCGGAGCCGTCCAGCCGCGGCGAGAGTCGAGACCCCGCCTTTCTTTCTTTCTCGGCGGTCTGGGGAACGAGAGGAAGTCCTTGGGTGTGGGAGAGTGGCCGGGAGTGAGGCCTCCCTTCGAATTGGGAGGTCAGGGGGTCTTGGTTTGCAAAAGGAAGTCTAACAGATTAAATCACAGAGGAATTTTTGGTAGGTTAGAATCTCATTTTGAAAAATATACACAACCAGGTCCCCACAATTTATATCGTTATGGTGCTTTAAAATGCAGCAGGACCTGTTCTGTTGTAGCTCGTCACCTAGGAGTTTGACTTGGTTTTGTCTGGCAGAATGTTAAAGGGTTACTTTTCTGGACTTTTTTTTTTATTATGTGTGCTGCTTGCTACCTGCCAACCCATGGTGACCTGATGAATTAGCGAGTTCAGGTCTTGCAAATTCAAGGCCACCTCTTCCTTTATCATGTCAAAACATCTCCTATGGGCTCTCCTTTTTTCCCTGCTGTCTTCAACATTTCCATGACAAAGCGTATCTTCTTTACATTATTAGCACTCCCAGCTCTCATCAATAACAATAATAATTGCAGGCAGACAAGATATGAGAAGCACTATAATCTCAGATGCACTTTCACTTTCTTTACAGAACTAGATTGCAAATATTCTGATATATTTTCTTTCCTGAACATTGAAGTGGCTTTAAATCCTCCATGTTGTCACATTGGCTCAACTGAGATATGAAAGAGGGTTCATCTTCACAATACAATACTGTATAGCTTAAAAAAGGGAAAAACTGATAGCAGGATATTGGTGTCTCTCATTTACTATGCGTTTAATTCAAAAAATGAGGAGTTTCCTCTCCTTTGCACATTTTTACAGATTACTTAGTCATAAAGGACTGTACTAAATTTTAGGAGCATCATGGATGGAGTACACATTTGTTACACTATAATTAGAAGTGTGCTCTATTTTTAAGAGCTTTGTTTACTGCCAGATTGCCTGAAGGTTTTCATTTTAATTTAGTTTAGGTGAAACCACAAAACCTGGAGAAGTGTAGTATACATAAACATTTCTTTTATATTTTTAGTGATTCAGTTTCAGTTTTGTTTAACATTTATTTTGAAGGTGGCAGTTTCATTAATGCTGTTTCTATCTGTTATCCCTCTCTATCTTTTAAAAAATGTATTCCTCCACACTCCAGAAAATCACATTTTTATGTAAGAGGAGGAAGAAAAGACTGGCAATGACTGAGTGTAGCTCTGTGTGATGTAGCAATGGGAATGCGGGAGTAAAGAAAGCAAATACAGTAATGCTTTCTTGCAATTTTAACATCCTGCCATTAAATATAAATGTGTAGGATCAGCAGGTGAACACACCATAGTGTTAAAGACAATCCCATGACCAATGGCATGTATACCATGTTTTTTCCCCCTACTGCTGTGATATGGAACCTTTTTTTTACAACTTGAACACCTAGCAGCTGTATAAAAATTTTTGAGGTGCCATTGTGCTCTTCTAAAGAAATACACCCTGCAATTGAATGTTACAGCTGTTGTTGTTATGTGCCACTAAGTCGCCTCCAACTTATGGTGACTCTAGGAATGAGTGATCTTCAGAATGTCCTGTCCTTAACAGTCCTTTTCAGCTCTTGCAAATTTAAGCCTGTGACTTCCTTTATGGAGTCAATTTGTCTCGTATTTGGCCTTCCTCTTTTCCTGCTCTCTTCAGCCTCTCCCAACATTATTGGCTTTTTCCAGTGAATCTTATCGTCTCATATTGTGCTGAATGTACGATAACCTCATTTCAACATTTTTTGCCTCCAGAGATCATTCAGGCTTGATTTGATCTAGGACCCTCTTGTTAGTTGTCCTGGCAGCCCAGGATATCTGCAAAGCTGTTCTCCAGTACCACATTTCAAATGAATCCATTTTTTTCCTGTCAACTTTCTTTACTGTCCAGCTTTCAGAGCAATATTTAGTAATCAGAAATATAAGAGTGTGGTTAATCTTTATCTTGGATTTTACCATTGCTACCTACTGTAGAGTACTAACAAAAGTTAACTTGAGTGTCATCACCATTGCCTCCTCCACCAATGTCACCTTCAGCTACCGCTGGTGCCTAGTACTGCCTTGAAGAGGATGGATGCATCTTAGTCTGGCGTCTCAGCTGTGACCATTCTGCCTTAGGTGGCCCTACTAGGAGTCCAGGCTCATAACAGAGTCTGGCTTCCTGACGGCATTGCTCTCAGCTTCACTGACACACTCAAGTCCCTTCACCACATTAAAGTGTACCTCCAAGAAAATGGTATATTACAATTGTTGTTGTTGTTTAGTCATTAATTCTTCGTGACCCCATGGACCAGAGCACGCCAGGCCCTCCTGTCTTCCACTACCCCCCGGAGTTTGGTCAGATTCATGTTGGTAGCTTCAGTGACACTGTCCATCCATTTATTTACAATAAAGGACTACAAAGATGCAGGGCACTTTATGAAAGAGAGTATGGGTGGAGAGAGAAGTCTTTGTTTACATGTTACATATTTATTCTTCATTTTAGAATGATCAAAAACAATCCTGCTGGCTCACTCCCAAATATGGAGTTTTACCTTTTTCTAAACAAGAAACAATTGCATTCAATAATTACATAATTGTTTAATAGTTACCATTCCTTTCTTCTCACTGTGTTCAAAGACAATGGAGACTGGACTACTAGATAAGGGGACAGCTGGCCCAGCAAGCTCAGCCTATTTCCCAGGCTGCTGCTCCTTCCTTAAATCTAGTCCAGGAGGTTAGCTTGGCTGTTAGCTTCATTAGTCAATAACTTAGTCAAGTGTCACCCTGAAAAGAGTCACTAAAGTAGGGCTATTGAATTGGTGGAACTAATGGAGGAGCAGACTCATCAAATCCCCACTGATTTAGTGGGTCTACTAGAGTTGCAACTTAAAACACTAAGCAATAAGAGTTAATCCACTGATGAACATCAGGATAAAACACATTTATTGGAGATAATCATAATTGTCCCATCTCTCCATCCTACGTCCTTGGGGAATCAAGTGAAAATGCTGAAGTAGGAAAAAGGTAGAAAAACTTGAAGAACTAAAATGTAATGTTGCTACTACTTTTTAAAAAATGCATCGAACACCAGGAATTACAAGCCGTGTTTTTCTTCAAATTGTTTATCTTTGATATGAGTTTAAAACCTGATTGTGAGAATAAGAGGCTGACTGTGCAGGCTTTTTAGCCCACTGTTTGGAGCACTAGAATAGTCAGATTCTCTTTCTTTTTTTCAGTATCATAAGCACTTCAGCAATGCAATCATGTATACATGTACTTAGAACTAAATTTATTGAGCTCGATGAGATTTATTTCTAGATAAGTGTAGTATTACAGCCGAAGACTGATTGCTGTATTTTGCATTTCATCATCCACCTTTTCTTCCTAAAGCATAATTGTATTTCAGGAGTAGAATTATGTTAGATTACAAAGCATTTAGACCACATCTGCCTCCTGAGTTCTGTGTAGTGCCTAGTCTTTCAGGCACTCAACAAATACGAAATATTATTATTAAATATTAAAAAGCAAACACTGCAGTGAAAGAGACTTGCTTTATTAAATGTTGCTGTTGTTGTCCACTCATGTACAAAACTATATTGTAATTGGTTACTCTTCTTAAATACCCTGCATCAAGAACTATACAACCTTGATAATTAGATCTTCTTTTAACACTGCTCAGGTATTGACCTTGATTTCTGAAGTTTTTGTTAGAGCAGAGTGCAAGAACGAAGTCATAAAGCATGATCAAGCTTTTGAAAAAAAATGGGATGCATATATACCTATTTTCCATTTTAATTCTAGAGTGTAGCATGTAATGGATACAGCCCTTTATTGCCTTGAAACTTACAATAAATGGCATTGAAAACCAAACAGTATTGCAACCTATGTGTGTCTTACTCAGGATTAAGTACTATTGAGTTCGGTGGGGCTTACTCCCAGGTAAATATGAGTAAGATTATATCCAACAGTTCTTGCTATTAATCATACTTAACATCCATTTGTTGCTTCATTTATTATAGGCTCAACAGAAATTATCCTTTAAATAAAATCACAGGTTTGTTTAAAACACTGAAATGCAGATCAAGACAAAATGTTTTAAGCTACTGTCTTGATATTTGTTTAAGGCAGAGCAACACATTCTTACAGAAGAAAAGTATAAAGCGGGCAGAGATAGGGCATATGTGTCCTTCCAAGTCTTGCTAGACTGCGATTCCCCACCGTTTCCAATCGCCATCGGCTATGCTGGCTGGGGAGTTGCAGTCCAGCAACATCTGGCAGGCCACATGTTCCAAACCTTTGCATCAGCCGGGATGCTATCATATTTTGCTGACAGGGCTTCTTTGCTTTTCATAGCACCATGAAAAACAGAACTCAAACAGGACTGCAGCTATAACATTTCTGGTTATCATGTGGCTGTTAAAGAGAAATATGGTCCACAAAAAACAGTAATGTGAATTCCTACTGAAGGACTCTCCATCATAACTGAGTCAGATTTGCCCACCCTTCACAAAGTGACTCTTTCTTCCAAAGCAGTTCTATTTCAGAAAAGAGGGGTCATCTTCACATACTAGGCCAGACAAGCTAATACAGAACTCGTAGGAGACAGACATTTTGGTTTCTAATAGCCGTAACTTGACACAAAGATCTTTGTGCAGAACTCAAAGGTACTCATTTCAAGTAACTTTCTGTTACATAGATTGCAGATATAATTTCTTTCAATGCCCCAAATCTTCTTGCCTAGTTAGCACTGGCATAAGGTGAACAGCATAACCTTTGGAGGCAAATTGCCACAAGTTAAGAAATCGCCATATGCATTATCTGTTTTATACTGTATATATCAGTGTGCACTGATAATACTTATGGTTACTTCTTAACTTGGAACAATTTACCTCTAAAAGTTACATTATTTCCATAGCTATGCAAGATGATTTGGGTGAGTAAATTTTACCACAGAATTCTGCTGTTTCTTTAACTTTCAGACATGCGGAATGGGATGCTGCA